AGAGAGAGAGAGAGAGAGGGAGAGAGAGAGAGAGAGGGAGAGAGGGAGAGAGAGAGAGAGAGAATGTACTGGGGCTTAAACTTGGGGTCCCTTTACTCTTGCTTGGCTTTTCTGCTCAAGGCTGGTGAACCACCACTTGAGCCACAGCTCCACTTCTGCCTTTTTGCTTGTTAATTGGAGATCAGAGTCTCACAGACTTTCCTGCTCAGGCTGGCTTCAAGCCTTAATTCTCAGATCTCAGCCTCCTGAGTTATTAGGACTACAGGTGTAAGCCTCCAGCACCCAAGCAGCCCCTAGCTTTTTGAGACAATGGGGAAGAACAGGAGCCCATTATGCCCTTCTCGCCACAGCAAGGCAGTGGCACTGGCACTGCCATTTGTTTTGTTGTTCAAATTTGAGCAATAAAACCCTCAGCACCTGGAGCTCCTTCCAACTGACTATGGGGTCCTTCCATTGTGTGCATCACCTTTTAAAATGATTGTATTTATTTATTTTCGGTGCCAGTCCTGGGGCTTGAACTTGGGGCCTGTGTGCTGTCCCTGAGCTTCTTTTTGCTAAAGGCTAGTGCTCTACCACTTGAGTAACAGCTCCACCTCTAGCTTTTTTTGATGATTCATTGTATGAGATAAGAGTCTCATGAACGTTCCTGTTTAGGCTGGCTTCAAACCATGATCTTCAAGTCTCAGTCTTCTGAGTAAGTAGGATTATAGCAGCAACTGGCACCCGGCTATGATTTTATTATTAAAGAAAATCTACGCACATCTTTGCTTTCTGGCACCACAGGACACTTCAGGCTCATCTTGTTCTTTTACTGCCCTCAGCCCTGGAGTCAACCAGTTTTTCTAGGAGCCCTGCTTCCTTCTATTGGAGGGTGGTTTTCTGAAACCAAATCTGACCAGGTACTGTTTGCTGTCGCCTATAATCTTAGCAACTCCAGCGGCTGATCTGAGGATTATGGTTCAAAGCCAACTGGGACAGGAAAGTCCTTGAGACTCTTACCTCCAATTAACCAGCAAAAAGCCAGAAGTGGAGCTGTGGCTCAAGTGGTAGAGCCCCAACCATGAGTAAGAGAAGATAAAAGACAATGCCTAGACCCTGAGTTCAAGTCCCAGGACTGGCAGAAAAAAGAAAAGAAAAAAAAGACATTGTTCACGATGATCATTGCACTGATCTCTCTTGGTGGATGTAACTATTGTATTTCTACATGTTTGCATTCATATATAAGTTTAAAATGGCCAGACCTGTGAGCAATACATTTCTGTTGTTTATAAGTCAGAAAAATAAAATATGACTCACATAGGGTGAGTGTGTGTGTGTGTGTGTAAACACAATGTATCAAGTAGAGGATTTGGGGCTTACATGATGTTGGGCTAAGTTTTGAAGAAATAGGTATGATTTGACAAGTGAGTGTCAGGGTCGGGGAGGCGAGAGGCCGGGCATTGTGTGTAGCCACAGTGTGGGGCAGGTCTGAGTGCACACAGTGGGAACACAGTGGCCAGTAGCCTGGTGAAGTGGGTCAGTGAACAAAGGACTCTGAATACCAGGCTGAGAGGACTCGATTTGACCTTACCAGAGAACGGGGTGGGGGCCTCAAGGAAGACCCTGAGCCTGGCATCAAAACCCCAAACTCAAAACTCCAGGAATGGCCTACAGGAGAGAAGGGACAGGGGCAGAGGAACAAACGAACAGGTCAGCATGTGTTATCATCATTCATGCCAGGAGCTTCCTCTCCAGATTCAGGAAAGTGAGCAGGAACTCGCCAGGTACCTGGTGCTGCAGGTGACTTGAGTGTCCCTCACTTCCTCCTCTTTGTGCCCAGAGACAGAGCTCCAGGCATCTCACAAACCTATGATAGACAGACAGACAGACACCCAGTGCAGCTGTAGAAGACCTTCACGATGCTATCAACCAAGTAGCCTAACCAACAATTACAAAATGTGTAGGACTACCCCCCCCTTCCACCCCAACAACTGCAGCAGAGCAAACATTTGCTCCAGAAGCATACAGAACATTCACCAAGGCGGACCATATGCCGAGCCATAAAACCTGCCTTGGGAAATAGAAACACCCGCAGCCATTGTTCCCTGACAACGGGGCAATGAGGGGGCTGGTGGAGGACAGAAAGCTATCTGGGAACTTCCAAGCACTTAGGAAGCTATCAAGACACTTGGCGGAGATTGAACGAGAAAGCACACTGCACGTGGAGCAGCCTGTATCTGTGCTGAGAAAGTGTGTGGAAGTGGTGCAGGGGACTTCAGGGGGACAAATTGTGGGGCCCCCAGGGACCTGTGAAAGAGTGCCCCAGCATGCTGGAAGGGGCAATCAAGGCGTCTTGACATCAGGGAGAGGATGCAGAAGAGAGAATGGACAGATCCTGGAGTTTGAAAGTGGGGCCTCTGAGACTCCTGGGGCTAGTCGTGGGAAAGATGGGCAGACCGAGGATGACCTCCATTTGTCATTGCTGTCAGGATCCTGTTCAAGTTGACTGAAAGCAGTCCTGATCACCCCTGCCCAACTTTATAGCCAAACGCTCCACAATCCAGCTCTAAACTTCTGTTCCTCCAGCAGCTAGCAGGTACCCCTATGCCATGTTTGCTCCGAATTGCAACTGGGCCTTTGCACATGCTGCTTCATCTGTCCCCCTGCTCTGCTTATCACTATCTCTCAGCCTAACTGCCACCTCTAATGGGAAGTCTCCCTGGATTTCACCCCTGCCTGGTTTACAGACCCTGCTGCATGCTTCTGTGCTAGCTGTGGTTATCTGTACCCCAATATCCTCTTCTCTGTCTCCTCAACTCATGCTTCTGAGGACAGAGAGCAGGCTTCATTCAGCAGTACTAACATTAGAGCCAGTTCCTGATCAGCCAGACTGTGGCTCCTCCTGGAGGTGGAGGGACAATGCTGTCACATTGCCATTGGGCCCTAGTGGTTCACAACTGTAATCCTCGCTACTCAGGAGGCTGAGACCTGAGGATGGAGGTTCAAAGATAGCCTAACCAGCAAAATGCTGGAAGTAGAGGTGTGGCTCCAGCAGTAGAGCAAAAAGGCCAAGTGGGTGTACAAGGCTCTGAGTTCAAGCCTCAGTATACTCTCTCTCCCCCTCTCTCTCTCCCTCCTTCTCTCTCTCTCTCTCTCTCTCACACACACACACACACACACATACACACACAGATCCCACACTGAACTTATGGAGGCCTTGCTGCGTGTGTGCATGTGTGTGTGTGCACACGCTTCTTGGTCTTGATCTCTCTTGACTGTCCCGGCAGCTCTGTGGAATGGGTGAGCAATGTGGCTGACATGGCGAGGAAGTTTAGGTTTTCTTCAGTCGCACTCAGGTCACATAGGCAGTGGTACAAATGGAACTTGAACACAAGTCGTCAGTTTATAAACCCACAACTTTGGGGAGGCAGATGGTTCTGGGGTTTGAATTGAAGGCCTCACACTTGCTGGGCAGGCACTCTAACCACTTGAGCCATTCCTCCAATCCTTTTTCTTTTATAGCTGGGATTCCAGATGCACAACACTATGTCCGGCTTATTGATTGAGATGCTATCTCGCTGACTTTTCCCTGGTCTGACCTCCTCAATCTCTACTTCCATAGGATTTGTGACTATAAGTAAAACCTCCCACTTTGACCACCAAATTGCACTGTGCACGTCAGGCCAGGATTGGGGCTGGAGAATCCCTGGCAATCTTGCAGCCTGTGTGCAGGAGGTTATGATCTGCATGTAGCACAGGTTGCTGGGCAGGGTCATTGAAGGTGGGTAGGAGCAGTGGGTGGAATGGGCCAGGAGCCAATATAGTCAGCAGTGATCGGTACAGTCAGCCTCTGGGTGCCGCCTCCCTCGGCTCCCTCTGGAAAACAAAGGCTTGATTCTGGAATTGGGTTTTCTCCACAAGGCGTTAAAAAGGCTACTTGTCTGTCCTCTTGATAACTACTCCTCTTCCTATGATAATGTAGCCAACAAGGGGGAATCTTTAAATTTGTACCAGCAATCATTGCTACAGAGAGGCAATGGAGAAAGAATGGTTTTTTGTTTTTCTTTTGTGTTTTCAGATAAAGAGTAAAAAGGCCTCTGTACTTGTGTCTGGTCCTGGTTATAAGTAGATTATGATATTATAGGGGGAGGAGGAGGGGAAAGCTACATTTCTCCTCGGCTTAACTCTGACCACAAACCAGGCCTTCTTGGTTAGCACCTGTTCCAAAGGGCTGGGGGGTGTTGATAAGAGTAGGGACTAACTATGTGTGTGTGTGCGCGCACACACAGAATATTTGTGCTAGTACAGGGGCTTGAATTCAGGGCTTCTGGCTCCTGTTTGGCTTTTTTTTCACTCAAGGTTGGTGCTCTACCACTTGAGCCACAGCTCCACTGCTGGCTTTTTGGTAGTTAATTGGATATAAGAATCTCGCAGACCTTCCTGCCCAGGCTGAACCACAATTCTCCAATGTCAATTTCCTGAGTAGCAAGGATTATAGTTGTGAGCCGCTGATGCCTGGTTTTTTAAAAAGATTGTTTTAGAAAGGTGCAGAGCCACATCCATCAATGCTAGAAGTGGATGCAGACAGAATACCTTCCCCCAGTGCTTTGCAGAAACTAGTTTAGAGATTGTCCACATCAATGCCTGCCTGCTTGGAAAAAAGAACTGAGAGAGAAAAGCAGGTGACCTTGCTGGAGGATGGAAGGACAAAACAGAACCACAATAACTGGCTGATGTTTTTATCCTTTGGAAAAAATGGAACTACATCAAATATAGCCCGATATCCTGGAGTTGAACAATCGAGATTGAGGTGTACCTTCTTTTATATCTCCAGTCACTGATCATTGTTGATTAGCCCTCAGGTCAAAGGAGAAGGGAGAAATGGAGCCCCCAGTGGTACAATTCTACAATTCATCACCAACCATTGCTTCTAGCAGCATCATTCTTCTATCTACTTCCCTTCTTCCTGACTTGCTTTTTTGTTTTGTGTCCCCGCCCCCCCCAACTCTTCACACGCAAAGGTGATTTTAAAGGATGTCGACTCGCTTCTGTATGTGGACACAGATGTTCTCTTTCTGAGACCTGTCGATGACATCTGGAAGCTTCTGAAGCAGTTTAACTCCACCCAGCTTGCAGCTATGGCCCCGGAGCACGAAGTCCCAAAGACAGGCTGGTACAGCCGCTTTGCTAGGCACCCTTTCTATGGCTCTGCGGGAGTCAACTCAGGGGTCATGCTGATGAACTTAACACGCATAAGAAGTACCCAGTTCAAGGTAAGGAAATGCTTTGAAGTCCTTAGCTAAAGATTAGCCGTCTTTTCATCCTGGGCTTGCCAAGGTTGAGCATGTGCTGATTTGGGGTCTGCAGTAGGTGGCCTAGAGGTAGGGATGGAAGAACCCAGAGTTTGGAAGGTATTGGGATGTTTGTTTGTTCTGGAAAAGACCAGATGGCTATGGAATATGAAGCTTTTACAGAGGTACTATGCAGGACTATCGGGGAGTGTTTCAGAATTCCATAGCACAGGAAGTGGCGCTGTAGCTCAAGTGGTAGAGCGCTCGCCTTGAGCTGAAGAGCTGAGGGACAGCGCCCAGGCTCAGAGTTCAAGCCCCACAACCAACAAAAATAAATAAATAAATAAATGCTGATGTTTAAAAAAAAAGAATTCCATAGCACATATGCTGCAACATTTTTTGGAATCATTCTAGAGGTAGTTATGTAACTATATGGAGTTTGTGCAAGGGTATGCATGGTTTCCTAGCAAAGAACTGGAAGGAACTTAAAAAACAAAAGTTGCTTCTTCAAAAAAAGTTTTATCCCTGCATTAAAAAGCATAGGTTAATTATGGCTGGAGTGTAGCTCAGGAGTACAGTACTTATCTAGCATGTGCAAGTGTTGTATGACCTTAGTTGTAAAAAACAGAGAAGCAATATATACATTTTTAAAAACATTTTATTTTAGCCAGTCCTGGAGCTTGAACTCAGGGCCTGGGCACTGTCCCTGAACTGCTTTTGCTCAAGGCTAGTACTCTATCATTTGAGCCACAGTGCCAGTTCCGGGTTTTTCTGTTTATGTGGTACTGAGGGATTGAACCTGGGCTTCATGCATGCAAGGCAAGCACTTGTACCACTAAGCCACATTCGCAGTAGAAAAGCCATATTTTCAGAGGTCAAATTGGGAGTCTATTGGAGAGCCAGCAGCTGCAGGTGGACTCTTGTCACAAAGACCTGCAGCCCCTGGAATACATTTCATGTTGTTTGAAAACTGGGCCGTGACAGTAATAAAGCAAAAAAGCCAGACTAGAAGTATGGCTCAAGTGGTAAAATATGCCAGCCTTGAGCAAGAAAGCCTAGAGAAAGTGTGAGGCCTTGAATTCAAGTTTTGGTACCAACATAAAAGGTAAGATAAAGAGGAAAAGGAAAGGGAAGGGAAAGGAGAGGTCAGGAGAGGAGTGAAAGGACGGAAGGGGAAGGAAGAAAGGGAAAGGAAGAAAGGAAAGGAAAGGAAAAGAAAGGAAAGGAAAAATAGGTGTATCTATAAGTAATGATATAATCTCTCCAATATATTGAGAAAAAGTTACTTGCAGTAACATGTCATTATAGTGTAGTGTGCTGACTTTTTTTTTTTTTGTCAGTTGTGGGGCTTGAACTCTGGGCCTGGGCGCTGTCCCTCAGCTCTTCAGCTCAAGGCGAGCGCTCTACCACTTGAGCTACAGCGCCACTTCCGGTTTTCTGGTGGTTTATTGGAGATAGGAGTCTTACGGTCTCTCTTGCCCGGGCTGGCTTTGAACCGCGATCCTCAGATCTCAGCCTCCTGAGTAGCTAGGATTACAGGCGTGAGCCACCAGCGCCCAGCAGTGTGCTTGACTTTTATGTCTTGGAAATTTCCAGAATACCTAAGAGGCTATACATTATTCATTGTGGATGCTTCTAGGAAAACTGGGAAGAGATTAGGGGAGAGTGGAGGAAGACATGTTTTTACTTTTTAATTTTGTTAATGTACTGATTGAATATGGTCTGTGAATGTGTTTTACTTTGAAGGTAAATAATTTGTTGGGTTTGTTTGTTTATTTGCTTGCAATAGGAACTCACTATGTAGCCCACGCTGGCCTTTATCTTGCGATCCTCCTGCCTCTACCTCTCTATCCTCCACTGCTGTTCACTTCCATGCAGAGTGTGGAATTAGAGGCATAAGCTACCATGCCCGGCTTTTTTCCTAACTTATTTTAAGTGAATTATTTGTAGACAAATACACATTTATAATCTTCAAACTGTAGAGGTAGAGGCAGAAAGATGGCAAAAGCTTTTCTTTTCTTTTTTTTTGGGGGGGGTCCAGTCATAGGGCCTGAACTCTGGGCCTGGGTGCTGTCCCTCAGCTCTTCAGCTCAAGGCTAGCGCTCTACCACTTGAGCTACAGTGCCACTCCTGGCTTTTTTCTTTTTGCTTATGTGGTGCTGAGGAATCGAACCCAGGGCCTCAGGCATGCAACGCAAGTGCTCTACCACTGAGCCACCTTCCCAGCCCCGGCAAAATCTTTTCTAAATAGGCAGACAGATGAGTGGATAGATGGATGGACAGATGGACAGGCGGACAGACGGATGGATAGATGCAAGATAATTTTGCCTAAGATACCTTAATTCTGTGCTCTGCATTTTGTTTCTTCATAGATAAGAAAGAAACCTAAGAAGGATTTGATTTCAGGCATGGTCTTTCTGAACTATTCCTCGGTCCATCCAGCACCCATGCAGAAAAACTGTATGACTTCAGCCCACATTTTGCTTTGTTCTGGGCCCTATAGCTAGCAGGATCTCTCCTCCAGCTGGAAGAAAAGGAAACCTAGGACTGCGTACTTTCTCCATGGGCAAGGGGCATTTTCCTTGTTTCAGTTGCTCTCATGGTTTCTCTCTTCCAGAACAGCCTGAGTCCTACAGGCCTGGCTTGGGAAGAGATGCTGTTGCCTCTGTACCAGAAGTACAAGAATTCCATCACATGGGGGGACCAGGATTTGCTTAACATCATCTTCTATTTCAACCCAGGTAGGTTCTCTTTGAAGAATGGTGTGTGTGCCTGTTTGTGTGTCTGTGTGTGTGCACATGCATGTGTCAGTGTATGTATGTGTATGTGTATGTCCCACCACACACATTAAAGGCCTAGGCTTCAGTGACCAGAGCCTGAGTGGTGCACATAGCCGCCTGTGTTCCCCTGCGCCTGCCCTTTCATCTGCTCTCCCTCCCTCTCTGACAGAGGTGGGCTCCTGGCCACAAAAGGCCACACCTCCCACACTGCTTTCCATCTTGGCCGAGTTGCCTCTGCATGTTTTCAAGAACTGCAGTCAAAGTAGACATGATGCCCACAATGAAATGGAAACAGTCTAATCTAGGTGAGTCCCTCCACCTGTCTGAGCTACACTGAGCCTGTTCTCAGGGACTTCAGGTTAAGTCACTTGTTCGTGGTTGAGAGAGGCTAGAATAAAAGACTACATATCTATATCTATATTTAGATATCTATACATATCTGATATATATATAGATAGATAGATAGATAGATAGATCACATATATGAGTTTCCTTTGCAAATGGGGCTGTGGAGAGGCTAGAATAAAGGACTGTTTCCCACAGCCCCGTTTGCAAAGGATACTCTTATATATTGTAAATCAGTGACTTGCTAGAGTGCAGGGGGGAAGAGAGAGGAACATTTCTAATCTGTTTTCATGTTACTACCTAAAGCTAATAAAATATCCCTTTTCCCCCCTTTACTAAAATCTTATTTGTCATTAAAATACAAGCCATGTTTATTCTGGAGAAAAATCTTTGTCTTTCCTGAGAAAAAGGACTCTGCTGTTTAAAAATCCTGAAGTAAGTCAGGCGCCTGTGCCTCATGAACATAATCCTCGCTGCAGAGGGGGCTGAGATCTGAGGATGGAGGTTCAAAGCCAACCTGGCAAGAAAAATCCATTCAGGCCTGGAATGTATGTGTGGTAGGACTCACACACAAGAAGACAAGAATCCATGAGATTCTTATCTCCAATTAGCCAACAAAATGCTGGGCTGGAGATGTGGCTCAAGTGATAGAGCACCAGCCATGAGCAAAAAAGCCAAGCAAAAGTATGAGGCCTTGAGTTCAAGCTCCAGTAGTAAAAATCTTATAATAAAAACTTCTATTGATAAAGATTTCTGCCGCTGTCGAGGTGTCAACTGTGTTCCTTTAAAAAGAAAAACATTCTATCAGGCTCAATTCCATATGTCTTTTCATCCAAAAGAACCAAATCCTGGAAAAGAAAAGATGCTGGCTGACGCTGAGTGTTTTGGGGGGAAAACTTCTGGTACTAATTCAGACAGCAACAAGAATGTCTTGACTGCCCACTATGTGATATGCTTTCATTACCCGTTTCTCAGTGACAGTACCAGGAATTTAGGCTTCTCATCCTTCTGCACATTTGATCTTTTTTTGAAGGGTGGGTATATCGGTTAGGATTCTTGATTGCAGGGGGGTGGACGGGCGCGGAGAATCTGTGTATTTAATCTAAACACAAAAGATGGTTTTTAAATGGAAACGCAGGCAGGCAGGCAAACAGACAGGCAGGCAGGCTTGGCCCATCACCTGCAGTACAGGAGAAACAGGAGATGGGGGAGGTAATGTATACTGTATTCTACTAGAACTGCTCATCCTCTCTCTTTAGGTTTTTGTTCTGCTCCTCAGGTCTCAAAGAAAAGTCCTGAAGTTTTATGCTGCAGTTACAGCCTGCACCAAAAGGCTGACTTCATCTCAATTCTGCATTCCCTGATTTGAGCAAGAATCAGCTGGGCTGGGAGTATGGAGCTCAGGAATTGGGCTGATGTTTCTTACTTGTTAAGTAGCAAATGCAACTGTAAGCATTATCTAAACCCACCCACGTAATCACCCTGGCCATTTCGCAGAGAGAAAACCCAACGAGGGGTTATTTCCATCCAGCATAGCTAACAAGTGAGAACCAAAGGTTTTCATCCGGGATACCCAACTCCAAATACAGGAGCAAGGAGCTTCTCAGAGATGGATGGGGTAGGAGATTCTAGAGTGCCCAGCAGCTTATCCCACAATGTACCCTTTGCTGAGTTCTTCTCTTTGATTGTGTTTCCCCCTCTCTTTTGTGGCTAAAACTATCTGAAGTATCTCCATCTATATTCCAAGTTGAGAAATTCAAGATTCACTCAGTCACATGACCCCAAATCCTCTTAGCCGCTCTCATATGGTTTGGGGATATGGTCGGTGATAATGAACCCTGGAAGGCCTTCAGAGAGCTGGTATGCAGTTGCACCTGCATACCAGCCTCTCATGGAGGCTGAACCCAGCTGGGTTTGGGGGCTTCCGCATTCCACATCTTAGACCCAAAGAGTCACAGATGCTCTAAAATGATTACAAAGTTCTTTTAAATCCTAATTCTGAGCAGTATGAAGCAGTAACCAAGTTTTCTGGTTTTAGATCTGTATTGAGTAAACCCACTGACACTGATTGAACTTTCTACTTCATGCTTTATCTAAGCACTTAATTAAACATGGGATCTTTGGATGGGCACCGGTAGCTCACGCCTGTAATTCTAGCTCCTAGGAGGCTGAGATCTAAGGGTCCCAATTCTAAGCCAATCCAGGCAGGAAAGTCCATGAGACTCTTATTTCCAGTTAAGCACCAGAAAACTGGTAGTGGCATTGTGGCACAAAGTGGGAGAGCACTAGCTTTGAGCAGAAAAGCTCAGGGACAGCACCCAGGCCCTGAGTTCAAGCCCCCAACCAAAAACAAAGAGACAAACAAACAAACATGGGATCTTTGGACCTGAAATCCAGTTTGTAATCAACAAGTGTGAGCACAGGTGAGGGAGAGAGAGGGTTTTTATTGTCCTGGTTCCTCAGGTTGCCATAGAAGAATCAATGGACAATGCCAGGGTTGTTACGATTATGAGAGTCTCCTGCAGCCAGTAACTGCATTTTTTAAAGTGTGTTTGCAAATCCTTAGCTAAAACATGTTGTAAAACTGCTCTAATTACACCATGAACACCTGTGGGTGTGTAATAGCCTTGCCAGGTAATGCTTTGCAGAGGGGATAACTGAAGTCCACGGGGCTGGCAGGTAACTCTTTCCAATGGGCATTTCTTGGTAGATAATGCAGGGCAGCCTCTTCCAGGGTGAAGGACTAAAATTCACATCTTTTCTTGTCTTTCTTCTTTTTTGTGTGTGCTGGCATTCCAACTCAATCCCTTGTGCTCTCGTGACTTTTTCCATCCTGGCTGGCACTCTACTTGAATCAGTCCTCCACTTCCAGCTTTTTGCTGGTTTATTGGAACCAAGAGTCTGATTTGTCTGCTCAGGCTGGCTTTAAATGGCTATTCTCAGCTCTCAGCCTCCTGAGTAGCTAAGATTCTAGGTGTGTACCACTGGCCCCTGGCTGAAACTCACATCTTGACAGGTGAGTTCTAGCCTAGGTTTACACAAGGGGTTCATCAGACAAGAGCCCTGAGGGAACACTAGGAAAACACTTTGTATGGGCTTTGTATGTTGTTGTACTGGGATCTGGAGGATCCTAACTCCACGTGGGCCAGAGAAAGGTAGATATGACTATATGGATCAGATCAAGCCAGGCTCCATGAGAACTGGGTCAAGGGAGTTGAGCAGCAGCCATGAGCAAAAAAATTGAGTGAGATCAAGCAACCTCTAGTTCAAGCCCCAATACCAGCACAAAGAAAAGAAATTCAATGTAGGTAACAAGGAAGAGCATCCAACAAGGGAAGAAGCAGTAGAGGTTCATCTAATGGGAGAGGGACCTGAAACACTCACCCATGTGTGTAGATTGTCTAGGAGCTCGGTGATTGAGGTGAGGGAGTCTGAAGGCACTCATGGTGTCCCTCAGTCATGTGACAGGTCACTCCAATGTCCTTATTTAAGGCTTTTACCCTTCCCAGACGTGCTAGAGCCCTGGCCTTGGCTGTGTAATCACACATAGGCTCTTCATACCAATGGCACCCGACTATAGGCAGCTGCGAGCACTGTGTTGTTGGGTGAGAGACCCAGATACTTTCCATGAAGCAATGGCAGATCAAGTGCAGGGAGTCTGGGAAGTTCACCAGCCCTGACATAAGCACAAGAAGAAAAGAATGTGTGAGAAGGTGGGGTCTGGCCTGTGCAGGGCTCAGAGTCTGCCCAAGGCTTGGTTGGTTCGGTGCATGGAATTAACAAAATGGAGTGAAGGTATAAATGAAAGCCAAAGACACCAAAGCAAAAACATGAGAGAAAAGGGAAGTTGAGATACGAAGGAGAAGCATGTAGCAAGAGAAAAGACCAAGATAATCATGGTAAAGGAAGGCATAAATTTCATTCATTCATTGAGGCCAAGTATTTCTATATACTCCAGTTTGGTCTCCAATTCATAATCTTTCTGCTGTCTCTAAGTGCTGAGGTTACAAGTATGTGCTACCACACTTAGCTGAGCAGATATCTTTTGAGAACCTACTACTGTGTGCCAGTCTGGTGGAGGGCATAATATCAGGAAAGTCAGGCAAAGTTTCACTTTCATGAAACCCACTTATTCTTAGAAGTAGACCGCCAAACCGCCACACAAGTTATAATAAGTGGAATGATGAAGGGGATGAATGAAGAGGTGAGAAAGACTGTCAAGGTTGTCAGGAATGAATGAAGAGCTTGCTTGGATTGTGTGATCGGGAAAGTTCTCTCAGAAGAACAAATTGCCCTTTTCTGGAACAAGTTACATTTCTGAAGAAGAAAAAAATGCTGGGAAAGCTCAGGTGTAGGTCTTGACAATAAAAACAAACAAATAACAACTAGCAACAATTGGACATTTCAACAGCCCCCATTCTGTTAATAGGGCTAGAAAGGGAGGAAGGAAAGCATGATCACTACAAAGTTAAAATGACCAGTATGAACCTATTCCATAATCTTGGGGACCTTAAGAGTATAAAATCATAAAAATCAGGATCAGCCAGTTCATATAGCGGTTCATAAGAGCTCAGCAGCCCAGGAAATAAATAGATCCTTTGTATAAAATGAAAAAT